TTGGCATGCCCGGTGGGGCTGAAGCTGAAGCCAGATAGGCACACAAAAATGAGTGCATGTTTTCCTCCACCAGCCTTTGAAATACATCTCAAATTGGCAGTATTTCTTTTCTATTTAAGATGGGTTGAACTTGCAATCTGAGAGAGACTTTCGTCAATGGTTGTTGCGGGAAAACTCAAGTTTCAATAAGGCAAGGAAAGCCTGGCGGTGGAAGAGCTTCACGTGTGAACATAAGGGACCGCCAGTCACTCATATATGTTGTGGATGTTGTGGGTGCATTATCTGCGCAAGAAAGCGGGATGTATAGTAATGTCGGATCTTGATTAGTAAAAGGGACCTCCCCCCCTCCCCCTAAACAAATTGGAGGCCCTCTATAATAAACTACCACCAAAACACATCTGGGTTCCTGGATATTCTCAGCAATCCTTTTCCGCAGGCTTAGATCTTCAGCAGATCTTCGGGCCTACCTTGAACAAGTTTCTAGGAGCAATCTTTACATAAAGGCTTGAATATCAAGGAGTTTATGGCTTTGGGAAGCTGCGAGTTTTGAAGAACTAACGACTATGATTATCAATAATACTCTCAGCAAGCCAGCCATTGGCTTAGTAGCATTAAGATTATTTAAGATTTATTTGTATGTTTTCTGATGGAAAACATTGCACAATCGAGAACCCTTAAAACAAACTTGTTATTGAGGATCAGGTGCATTCCTGGTCTACTACCTTGAAAATGTCTTTAGGAGCAATCTTTGCGAAGAACTAGGGAAACCTATACTTGTAGCAATCTCACCAGCCAGCGATTGGCTGGGTAGTATTCACAGGTCTCCGAGGGATTTATAACTTTTTTTAAGACATCAATAATAGAAATGATCTCAAAAAAGTTGGCATAATAGAGAGCCCTTAGAACAAAGATGGTGTCAAGAATTATGTTTGAACAAATTAGCACTATAGACTATAGAGGGCCCTATTACTAATGAGCATCCAACATTAACTACTAAATGATGCGACAGAGTGCATCCAACGACTTCAGGTTGATGACAGCCTTGGTGATGACCTCCAAGTCTTGAAACATGACTTCAGGTTGGAAACTAGACTGCTGTTTTGAAGCATTCCTGGCAATGCTGAGGGTGGTTTGCAACAGCATGGACAGCAACTGCCCCTTTTGCGCTGGGCTGAGATGGTTGGAGCCAGCATAGGTGTAGCAGGCCAGATCTTTGTAGCCACATGTAGCCGCTGTAGCCAATTGATTTCTTGATGTGCGCTTTCAACAGCACCCAACCTAACTGCTGCATCTTGATCGGGTGTGGCAATTTTTCATCTTGAAGAATGACATGAGCCTTTAGGTGCCGTGTCGCTGAAAGAACTGGCGCCCTCGAATTCCCAAATTGCGGATTTTGCGGCTCTGTCCCAGGGGCGGTGTTTTGCACGTTTTGACTCCCAAAGAGTCGTCCCACGAAATCGATGGAAGGATTGACGACCTTTAAAAACTTCATATCTCCTATGAATGCCCCCAGCAGCATACAAATCAGCAGGCTGCCCTGTTTGAGTAGCATACAGTACTGTACGTCTACCAGAGTCTACCACCGAGTATGATGTTTTAACTATGTTTTAACATTGTGAAAATTATTGATATTAATGGTATGAATAGACGTTGGCAGGTTTTCAGATTCACGTTGGTATGCGTGTTTGTGGCACCCCCAGGCCCTGCATGCAGTTGCCCAGAGTGCCTCAATGAATGCCCACCTTGCATCAAGAGGCCAGGTGGGTTCATGCGTAGCAGCAATTGCGCTGGCCCAGGTTCGAGTTGTTAATCCCAGCATGGTGTGACTTGGAAGATCTGCGAAGCAACATGGGACATGCTGGTGAATGTCGATTTAGTGTGTGTGTGTGTGTGTCATGAATTTTTCTGGCCGGTCGCTCGGTCGAAGTGCTGTTTCCTCCCAACAACTGTGCAAAGGGTTCCTTTCATGGCGTATCCATGTGTATGTGTATATACATATATATATATATATATACGCCCTCCGAATGGACCAATGACACCAGCTCTACAGATTTCTGCGGGGACCTTGTTTGCGAGTGCAACCAGCACACTCACCATAACAAGCCTAACCGCGATTGCACAGACGACACCGTGCACTGCACTCACCAGTGCAACCTGCGGCAAGTTACTTCGCTAGCATCATCGGCGCAGCCAGCACCTTGAACTTACGCTCAAAGTGGTTTGCAGGAGTTTGTTGTCCTCGGAAAACATTGGAAAGGAATGTTCGGGACGGATTTTGGAGAGCAAGTGTTCCTTCGTCTATGTTGGATTTGTTCAGCTTCAATGTAGACAGCCAGACTCGACAACTTTTACCAAGGGTTCCTGCAACCACTTTCTTTATTTTGGGTTGAATGCCCAAGTTGCTCAGTCCTTGATTTTGGGATGAGGCCAAGAAAAGCAAGCAAAACATCCGGGGACGCAAAAAGGCATTGTCCGTTCAACTTCCGGTTCCATGCCTGAGCATCTGGAGACTTCTGGCCGATCCGGTTGGACCCTCCTCAGGCCGCCCAACGATCCACCGACCGTTGTCTTGGGAACGGATGGAGAGCCGTAGGGAGGCCCAGTGACAGGGGGAGAGGCTGGTTGTTGCGGGGGGTCGTGGTGATCATATGGTTCTTTTTTCCACGAGTACGGACGCCATGTGGGCGGTGCGCCCAGGTCATCAGTCGTGGTGATCATATGGTAGTTAGTATAGCTGCACTAGCTTAGGCCTGGTTAGTTCTGGCTGTGTTCTTCCCGTGCCGGGGAAGTTTCACTCGGTTTTTATCCAACATTGCCCCACCAATGGAGATGGATGCTCCCTTGTGTTTTTGGATATATTGTGTGTTTGTATGCAGTTGTTGCTTCCTGGGACCAGCAATGTGATCATGAGGCAAGCTGAAGCTACTGGACCAAAGATTGGACTTATACAGACTGGTTCTCTTCACGTTCCTTTGAGGCTGTTGTGTGTTTGAATGCGGTGATTTCATGGCTGGTGCAGCATATTCAAATTCTCCAAGGGTGAGGCACTTTGTGAACATGAAAGTCCAGATTTCGTGGCTTGTTCTTTGTGTGCGTGTGTGGTCTCATACGTGTGCTCTCATATGCGTGTTCTCATGTTGCGTGTGCTCTCACCTGCGCCCTCACCTGCACATATGTGCCCTGCCCTCATGTGTTTGCTGACATATGTGTGCTCTCATACCCGTATGTATGCTCTCATATGGGCGCTCTCATTTGCAGGCTCTCATATGCTCTCACCTGTGTGCTTTTATGTGTGTGTGTGTGCTCTCACGTTGGTGATCTCATATGTGTATCCAGTGTATTCTCACGTGTGTGTGCTCTCGTCATAAAATTGCTCATGCGTGTTGCTCTCGTATGTGTTGCTCTCGTATTTGTGTTCTCTCATGAATCGAACATCACTTGTGTGTGTGCGCCCGCAGGCGTGTGTTTTCATGGGGTTGAATGTTCTCTCTCCCTCTCTCCCATATGTGTGCTCATGCGTTTGCTCACATATGTGTGCTCTCATATGCAGAAATTGGCTTATTCACACTTCTTTCTTCTACTTGGCACTGTTTGGGGTCTCTCGCCATGATAATTCACGTGTTTATTCCCACACCCACGCCCATTCCAGCAACCTTGCGTCTCCCTCATCACCTTGGGATGGCGGGCCGGCCTTGGCCCAGGCATGCCACAGGCGGCACACCGGTGAACCCTTTGGTGTCCCTTGGCTATATAATTGCATTTTTTGAAAGCCTGACTCACCTGACCCTTTACTGGTATTCGATGTTGTTCTTCCTGGAGTGCTTGCCGGCCAGGGGGCATCTCAATCACAAGCATGTGTTTCTTTCACAGACGGTGCTTGGTGTTATCTTGGCTTATTGAGGTTCAAGTGGCACTGCAAGGCAACCTGGGAAAATTCCATTTGTAGGAGGGAATCTGGCGGGGAAGGTAAAGGTTAGTTGGGACAGGATACTGATAGTCTCCGATTCTCGCGAGGGGGCAGTTGACGGGGAACATATTGAACGCTTGTCAAAGGCCTAGTGCTCTCGGATTCGAATTAACTTTGCTTTTGCAGGCCTAGGACTTTAGAATGTACATTCGGTCATGTCATGTCAAGGCCCCAGGTGTTCAACAACCATCGTCCGCCAGCATTCCAAAGTCAAGCGACCCGCCAAGACCACCCGGCAGATTGAGGCAAAGCATCAACGATGATTTAGCAATGCAAAGCCTGAACGGATAAAAGAGATGTTACTTTTCATTATTCATGACAGTATCGACGAACCGATGTAGTTGCAAGATTTGCTCTCCTGTAAGTTTGTGACTTGTTCGGCTACCTATTGAGTATAGGATAGGCACAAACACTTTTCGGATGAATACTGTTGGCATTCAATCTACAATAAATATATATATATATACTATGCACTTGTGTGTGTGCGCATTCTCAATCAGGATTTGCTCCAGGGGTCACAGAAATGGCCGTGTTGAAGGAGATATGTTCTTGAAATGTTCACTTGAGAAGCAAGGTGGTGGCTATCAACCACAAAAACACGTGTCTTCCGCTCAAGTCGGCTTTGCAAGAGGTTGATAGAGGAATCTCCTTTGAGCCCTTTCCATCTATGGACTATAACGGTGCACACGCTTTTCAAGTAACTATACTTAGTGGCCAGCCTGCATGACATCACGCAGAATTGGATCACCTTGGCTTAGGCTCAGTTTGCGTATTGTTTGAGAACACGCATCGATAGCTCTTGAAAGAGTATTTCTTTGGTGGGTTGCTTGAATTTGGGTGTTATGCCCATGCTGATGCCACAAAAGACCGTGCTAGTGATTGATTGTTCGGCTAAAGGCTGTTCTTGCAGCTTTACTGGCCATACTTTGTTTGCTTGCATCACATTGCAGGAGTATGCAAGTGAGCAGTGAAGCCCACAACCTTGGAACAAACAAAGATGGATACAACTTCACAGGTCTCAGGTGCCTTTCGCAGCACACTTTGCTCAAAGTTAGACTTGCACGCGGCTGTCGGCTGTTGTTTTCGCCTCTCGCCGGATGCTGGTGGGTTTGCGGGTCGGCTTCACCCAATTCAGAAACTTGTCCACTCATGTGGGTCCCTGTTAACCTTAATGTGTGCACATCGCCGGCAGTCAAGATTGCTTGGGCATTGGAGACCTACATTGCAGGGTACTTACTTGGATTACTTGCGCCGAGTATTGGGATCCATGCTCTAGAGACCCCCGAATAAACAGGCTATCGACAATGACCACGGGAGCATTGAACGGTCACGCGTTTCCTTTCCAAACCAATCCTCATGTCCCCAGCGTTCCCTTGCTTGGGGACCTCCACACAGAACCTTCTATCAAGAGCATGGCCACCATGGAAAGGGGAATTGTGCTGCTATCATGTCATATCATGTCCCTACTTTGACTGCAGAACAGGCACCCGATCCCTATAAACATGTTTGTCAATGCTTTCTTTGGTTTGTTTCGTTGGTCAGAGGGTCCCTATTAGCAAAATTGTTTTGGTTTGTTTGTCCCTTTCTATGAATGTGCCTGGCTGTTTGGGCCATTTCTCTATAACCCTTCCTAGCCTGCTTTCTTCTCTCTAGTTTCTGCCTTGGCTGTTGTTCCTACAGTAGCTGGTTCATGCTGCGCCCTGCATGGTTCCCTCTTAGCTGCCAATCGCTTTTGTTTATTGGAGGGCATGTAGTTAGCGTTCATCGACTCCCATCACAACGATAGAAAATGCACCATCATGCACCTGTTTGGTAGAAATGTGAGCCGAAGGGAGCAACTCCAACGACTGCTGGAGGCTCTTCATTCCAATGGGATTGCAGCCGCTCTCGGAATCAGCCGTGCAGAAAGCCGCTGGGGCCTTGGCAGGATGATATGATGTGTCGCGAAGACTGTGATGACGACGATGATGATTCCATAAAGAATGGGTTGCATTGAAGGCCGTAGCATGTGTGGTCAGGGTCAGCGGGTGGTAATCTATCAGAGGCCTGGATATAAAATCAACTCTGAAGGATGAACGGTGTGGTTTTCAGCGTGTGTTGCTTACAGTAGATCACACATGTCTCAACACATGATGTTTTTATGAAGCCCTACCTGTAGGACCTTGGGGACTCTTTATAGAAACGTTCAGCGCATGAATGTGGGGATGAATTCAATATTGGGTTTATCATGGTTTATCATGGTTTATCAAACAGTTATGACTTGGTGACTTTCCAAAAAACTGACCCAAGCATCCTAGCCGGTCCTAGCACATGACAAGTGAGATCCACAGATTTGGACAGATGCCCGCAAGGCTGAGAAGGGTGGATACATCGACAAGGGAGATTTGCTCCTCCTTTCGATCCAAAGCAAAGCTCAGCAGATCTTGGAATCCTGCTGCTCGGAGCACAGCGGAAATGATAATATCGGTTCAAAACACTCGCATAGGACCATAGGACATTGATGAATTGCAACATGGGGCCCCAGAGCCAACCTTGTGGCACCAAAGAATTGGGATCGAGTAGGGGATCAGTGTTTTTGCGCGTTTTTGCAACGTCTGACATGTGATTCCTTCAGGTTGCAGGGAAGGTCCTCGAGAATTGTCAAGGCTCCCGTGAAGGCAGATTCCCTATAGTACTTACCTTCCTTTCAATACCTTCGCGTAGGATCCGGCCAAGTCATTCATCTTTTGCGACGTTGCCATCGTGGGGTGTTCTTTGGTTCCTGTTGCTAGCATAGCCCGGGATAGACATATTAGAACAGACACAGAGTGCAGCCATTCATTTACAGATATTTGCAGTATATAATTTGGAGGAACTTGACAGACGCAAAAGCCAGCACCGAACACAAGTGCATGAGGCAGGCTGAGTACTGTAACTTTCCGTGTTGCGTGTCTCTTCACTTTGTTTAACTTGTTTCCACGTGCGGATGAGGTAATTACTGAAGAACCGTCCAAATGAACTTTCTATCAAATGTTGTGTCAGTCATTGGTATAGAATAAAATAAAATATACAGTGCATTTCATCATCCAAAATAAATCCCAAATACCAAGGACGCTACTAGGGGCTCCTGGCCGTACTACTAGGAACAAGAAGCTACTAGGGGCTCCTGGCCATACTACTAGGAGCAAGGACGCGACTAGGGGCTCCTGGCATCGCTACCAGGAGCAATGTGCACAGCCGCTGAGGCTCTCATAGCGACAAGTCCACGTCCGGTTCTTCGCCCAGACACGAGGCGTAGCGCCGGAGATCGGGAGAGGCTGCGTGTGAATTGATATGCTTCGGATGAGGCTTCAAAGGTTTTGTTTTGATGGTCCACTGCATGCTGCACATCGACGGTTAATTTAATCATCGACTTGCGGTCGCAGTCGCAGTATTTGCTGATTCATGTCAGGTTCAGTTTGCCGCTTTGTAGCTGTTAAAGTGGTAAGCACAAAAACTGCAAACGAGGACGCATGTTTACAGTTTCAAGTTTCAACTTAGCATGTAATCATCTCATGTGCTTTTAGGCAGCGTCTCCACTTCAAAAAGAATGAAAGGTCCTCAAGACAACATGAAGGATGGTCGAGTGAGAGGAGTGTTTGATCTTGTTTTCACAACCGTCGTCATTTCATGTAGCGCGTGGTAGGCTTACTTTTTGTGTTGGGGAAGACACGCTCAATTGGTCCATACGTGGTGCAAAACAAAGGTGAGCCGCTTTATAATGGTTGGTGTTTTTGTTAGCCGGATGTATATACACCGTTGTTTGGAGCCCCCCATGCAGCCCTGCTATGCCCTGCTGACATACCATGTCGGGTACAACCATCTGATTTTGGCGACTTCCTTTGTAGGATGAAGAGCTGGCCTGGAACCCCTTGGGATTGGAGCCATGGTCGCTTGTTCAAGAACAACGTGATGAAGGTGCGCGGCTGCCATGCATGTTAGTGCTTAAGCCTAAGCTCCAGATTAGGAAGGGTCACCAAGCAGTCATCACACGCTGGCACCAGGAACCCACTTCGCGAAATCATGCGTACTTAAGTTGGATGGTTTGCATCAAACAAAGTTGATCACTGAAATCTAGGTAAAGCACAGAAGCGGTCAAGTTTGATTTGGTGCTCTGACAAAGAAGCGGCAGAGAAGTCAGGCTTCCAGCTACTGCAAGGGCTTGTGAGAGAAAGATGTTCATGGCATGTTTTTATTGGGAGGTCGTTTCTCCCCCATGTTTTCCAGGTGAGAAGCCCGAGCTGCTGTGGAACCCACTTGGGCTGAAAGGAGTCAGCAAAGAGGTCGGCACCTAGGGAGGACCAGGGTGGAGCCGGGTTGCTTCACTATGCTTCAGAAGTTTATAGGGTGAAAAGGTTTGGGGTACCGATGGAGTACCGATATATACCGACATCTCAAGGTTTGGCAAGAACACCTTGGCCTTTGGCACACAGCTGTAGTAGATGCAAGGGTGGGCCCGCTGAGCCGGGTGAGCTGTGTAAAGCAGGGAGGCCAATCGACCATGAAGTCATGACGTCCCAGCTCCCATTGCAAAGGGAGTGACTTTCGCATGCAACTAATCTGGGTGGACTGTTGGTAGAATGGCATCCCTATTAAAATTGCCGCCGCAGAATGGGGTCACACAAGGCTCACATTTAATTTCCTGCCGCCGGGCTTGCAACCTTCCAACAAGATGGCCCATGCTTTCACATCATCGTATCGCTGAAGTTGTCGTGTCAACTGTTTGTGTTCCTGTTAGTCAGAGGGGTCCTTGCCTGTACGCTTGGCCGAGCAGTTTGCCCGGCCAGTGGCAGCAAAATGCTATATAATTCCACAAAATTCCGGTCTAAAGTTCCGCCTGCTTTCTTGGCCAAGTGTGCTTTGACTCACCCATCCAGCCTTAAGAACTTCGGCTGGAGGTTTTCCTTGCATTCCAAGGCCAAGGCTGAGCCCGCATTCTTGTCCAAGCCGCCTGGGCTAGAAGAAGTGGAAGGCAGGGTGGCCGCTGGTAGGGCTGGCTGCATGCACCCACAACCCTAAAGGAAAGTTGGGCGAAGGTTGATGCCCATCGGTGCCCAAAGTTGAATAGATCAAGCCACACAAAAGACTCATTGAAGGGGGAATCTAGCAGGTGGATGTAAAATAGGACGGCAAGTGGAGCCGCTTTGGTCAGATGAAGGTTGCTGATGGAAAGCGACAAGGCTTCTCACTGCAGAGGTGGAACAGTGGTCGTTTCCATGAAATGAGGCGCCTTGTACGTTGCCATGCTACGGACAAACCTGATCCATATTCGACTCCAGGTCATGAGGCCAGCTTCTTGTGGAGCCGCTCCACCACGGCAGGCACGTTCCAAACACACGTGTTTGGGTGTCCAGGTGTGCAGGACGGGTAGTTCTAAAGATGAGGGGTTGAGCATGATTGAACAGCTCACCAGATGCGGGCAGTTTTGCCTCAGAATTTGCCGTGGAATCCTGTTCTACAAGGCGTCACAGATCTGATTCAGAATTTCTGGTGGCAACTCGCACCCAAAGACCCAAAGGCATGAAAACGTACAGGGAAGTAGGAATCGGAGGAAGTGTTCATTGTCCATTGTTCTTTGATGTTGTGGGCAACCCACTTGGCTTCTTTCCACAGATCACGTCAGAGGCATGCTCCAAGGATAATGAGTGATAATGAGTATAGTATAAATGCATGTATGAACCAGGATGTTTCACCCCTTAGTTTGTTGAGGTTGCAATTGCTTGGCTCTTCATCTGGGTTTGGTCCTCCGGCCCAGAACTGGCGTCCCTGTTTTCGCTACTGTTGGGTGGGCGTTGCCTGGAAGTTGTTGTGTTTCCGGTTTATCCGTCAAGATAGCGAGGCACGGAGAGCTCCGACGAGGCCTTGGTCTCAGATATCAACATGGTATTGCAGATGCTGCAGACAGGCCGAACCGGGCCGATGGATTTTGTGCTCAACAAGTTTCGGGGCTGAAGGGGCTGCTTTTCAGCTCAGAGAGTGGTGGGCAAAGTAAGGACAGACTATAATAACAATGGTCATGGCAGCACCTTCCATGCCAAAGAGTGCATTTGTGAGGCATCTCCTCCCACAGAGTACCACCGAGGTTTGTACACCCGTTCCCACGTGAGATCAAGATTGGTTTGGGGCACCATTTGACCTGCCATGTTTCTTCACGGCTGGAGGCACTTCCGACATCATGGACAGAGGGTTCAGCAAAAAGTATGAAACTCGTCTTCAAGTCTTCAAAAGATGTTCGAGTCGATGTCGATCCCGGCCTTTAGCGGTCAGGCAAGTGCGGACCTCCAAGTGATTTGGGCAAACAGAGGCGCAATGTCCGAAGCTCGATCAACGGGGGTCCGCCCGGTTCCATGTTTGCACTAGCTGCCCCACTTCTTGTCGAGGGGCCCGAACGGACCCAGGTTTGTCCCAGGTCATCAACCGGTGCCATGGGCCTTCGAAAACCAGTGTGACTGAGGGCCCAAATTGAAGAAATCTGTCCAAGAGGTGCCCCTGTTGGAAAGTTTGTCAGCTTGGAACTATACTACTTTATGAGCAGCTAGGTGCTCATTTGCAACTTTTGGCTGCTGGTGCAGCAGTGTTGTTGTGCAACCTAGTCCACACCAAGAAGTGCAGATTGACCACCCGCAAGCCCTCAAGTGTAGAAACTGAGGATCAATACAATAGCTAAGCTATATAGTAATTAATTTTGGATTCCTTTTGAGACCTAGATGCATCGCAGCCCCCATTTCTCCCGTGCCCATGTGGCGAGCACCTCTCCAATGGGCTTCAACGGTGAAGTCCTCTGATATAAAGGACCGTTCTTCTCAAACTCTCCTGTTTTTCTCGTGATTCTGATGTATTCAGTGTAGAGGTCAGACCAGCCCAAACAGGCCAAAGACTGTATGAGTTCGATGATCAAGTGCAAAGAGTGATGGAGGTATTCTATCAGTGGATTGTATTGACTTACCTCGGTCACAATAGCAGGTGGGCACACGTGCATCCAAGGCTCGGAGCTCCTCAACTGATTCAACTGGTTCCTTGCTGCAAAGATCATCTTCAGAAATCCTCCAAATTTCTGGGTGAACCCATGGCAAAGGGGGCATCCCAGCTCTACTCACTCACTGAACATACAGGCGCTCGCTGGGCTCCACGAGCTCGCTGCCACCACTGCGTGGATCACCTTTCTGGCCTCAGCCAACAGGAGCGAATCGCGGAGCGAAAGGATGAGGTGGGAACCTATGTGGATGTGGTCGACCGACCATCCTCTTTTCTTCTCGGGGAGAAAATCTTTCATGGACGTTATACGGTCATTGGACGAAGCCTTCTCCTCGCTCTAGCCTAGAGCCCTTTGGGCAGGAGACATTAGGGACAAGAATCAAGAAACTGCATCCATCCCCAAAGTCAGCGGACACCAGCAGTGGGCATGCTTGATTTTTGTTTGCGAGAGGCCATAGTTGCAGCCCCTTAGCAATCCCATGTTCCAACAAGTTGACAGACTGCACAGCCAGCATCCGCCGAGTTCTCCATGCAAAGCACATCAAAGCACCCAGCAGGTTTGAACAATAGACTCAGCAGAAGGTCTATATAACCGGATATAAGGGCTGTCTTGTTGGATAGGTGGCACCAACCTTGTTAAGGTCCCACGTGCACGGTTTGGGATGCTGCAGTTCACTGCGTCAACTGTGGAAATCGAGCATTAAAATTTGCTCGATGACCAGGAGGACTCTTCCCTTTGGCGCTTGGACAGGCCCATTTCTGCCGCTCGTCCCTGAAAAACTGATGGTGTGGCCTCTACTGAGTTGTGCAGAAGCCAACGAACGTTGAAGTGGTCGAGGGAACTGCCAACGAAAAGCTCGTCACCCCGACTTTTTCGTCATGCACCGCTCGTCGGGGCACTCCGCTTCAACCACATAGGGCAAACACCCTACAAAGTGGAAGATCATTTCTGTAGGGCTTGTTCTACCATTGCCCTTAGCCCATAATTACGTGCTCAACCCAACAATGGTTCTCCACCGTGCCTACCGTGAAGCAACCGATGTAGAACGTGCGTTGTGGCTACAAGCCTTTATGACACAAATGACACGTCGAAAAGACAGCAGTAAGGTAGATGGAACAATGTTTGGCTCGCAAGAGGGCTTCTATCAACCAGGCACCACCATCAAACATGAAAGATATGACAGTTCCCACTGCCCGACCGGACAAGGTCCTTGGTGCGGATCTGCGAGGATGATGTTTCATCAATTCTGCCCCTACTGTGGAGCATCTTGGAAGGAAAAGGGAGGCATTTGATGCTTTTCTTGGGGAAACTGGCAGGCACGTTACATCAAGAAGTTCAACAAATCAAACACACCATTACAGTAATAACCCTGAACACATCGTTGTGGATGATGAACATGACAGAGAAGGATATCTTAACTTTGCCATGGGCTTGTGCTTCTGCACTTTCCAGGTGTTTGGTCAATGTTGCGTAGAGTAAAGAATGCCGGAACAGCTTCATGACTGCAAACGGCAGCTTCCGCAGCCACCTTCGGAACACCTTCGGAGTGGTATTTGAGTTTCCTGCTTGAGATTGCTTGAGCACAGGGAGTCTTCGGATTGCCTTTGTGGGTGCGTGCGTGCATGCATGTGTTTGTGTGTGTGTTGGATCAGCCTACGTCCCGCCTTTGGTTCCAAAAGCTGCCGCCATCACGCAGTGAAGCACGTCGAGTCGGCTCAGGTGTCGTACCCAGATACGACTGGATCAGACCGTTCAATGAAGAGCTTTGTCGCCTTTGGAAAGGATATGTGAGAACTTTTTTGGGTGTCGGAAGTTCCGGGAGGATTGCCCCTTTTGAATCAGCCTGTAGGACGTTCCATGTTGTGACATTCCTTGTTTCATGCAGCACGAATGGGGCGCCCAAAAGTTTGAACGGCTTCTGACAGAGTGGGGATGTTTTGTGCTCTTTTTTGCGCCCATACCAGTGCACCAAGCAGGTCTGATTGCACCAGCAATCTGCGAATGTCTATGGTGATTTATTTAAGGTATGGGCAGAACACTGTCTTTGTTAACAATCGAAGATGGTGGTCCGTTCGTCATTCCTGCAACCAGCAGTGGGCGAACAATGGAAAATGCTCGAACAACTGGGCTGCAAGAGACTGATGTGGCATGTCAGCTAGCAACATGCAGATGTACCACAAAGCGGGCACAGATTAAGAATAGAGTGGTCCCTTTGATCATTGGGGCATTGCAGACAGCTGTGGTATGCATTGTTGCACCAGCCCCCACCAAACCTGGGTTCAAATTTTGTACATAGGGAGAATCAATGTAAGGGCCATTGCTTGAATGAAGCAGAATGGATATCAGCCCTCATGAACGGGAGGCGGATCAGTTGTCCACGACCACGACTTTGTTGATTCGGGCCAGAAAGGGGAAGAACTCCGCGGGGTTCTCCCCTAACTTTTCCTACTTGGCCAGTTGGGCCAACTTCCAATCCCTAGCAGTGTACCTCGAATAAGCAAAACCAGCTGGTAGCCTTTCAGAGAGGAAACTGGGCTTTGGCCATTATCACCGATCCATCCGCCCTCCGAAGGAAGGATGGAAGGGAGGAAGCGAAGAAGGGAAGCGTGCCAGTTCATCACCTGTCGTTTGCATGTTGGGATGGCCCACCCACCCACCTAATCCCACCTTACTTATCCCTACCCTAACTTGATCTTTGCACGGCAAGAAGCTGCAGAAGCAGTGCAATGCTAAGTTGATGGAGGTTGATGCTAAGGTCATTTTCGATATCTGTCAGCATGCTTCACCTAGCAAATGAGGACTAGGTTAGTTTTGACAAAACCCTCCAAATCAAACCATTTTTCCTGCGGACCAAGAACACTCCAAAAGTAATCAAACGGGTAAAGCCTTTCCGTTCACGTGCGGCAGGTAGGGAGACAGCAGTTCAAAAAAAGAAGCTTGAAACAAAAGCTAAGCGGATCAATAATGCAACACCTTGGGTAGGGCTGGGAAGGCAGGCTTGGATAGGATCAGGTAGTGGAGAGGAATGTTTGTATGAGTGTGAGCTTTTAGCCACTTCAGTACAGCCTGGGAAGCAGTGGCTACAGATGCAGCTTCCCAAACCCTCCAGCTTGGCCCTGCTGTTGCCATTGTGAACCATGTGAATCCTAAATGATGGAACTCCGGAAGAGCTCAGATTTGGGACATGGGATTTGCACAATGATACAGTCAACAAGGGGCAGGCCTGGAGACACGTGCATGAGGAATTCACGCTCTCTCTTTGCAAAGTCGCATCGGGAGGTGTGGTTTGAAAGCAGTAGAAAGGGCCTCTTATCAGGGTCACATGCTGTGTTGAAGTTGCTCCTCCAAGCCGTCGAAGCTTTGAGACATGCAGGCCCGGATGTGGGGTGGGGCCAGTAACAGGGTAGGCTGCTGATGCCCTCAAAATCTTGGCAAGAGCAATAGAATGCAGCTCCCGTTGTCCTCCTCTACACCCAAAGGAAGGCGAACCCACGCTTTGGGAGGGTTGCTAATTCAAATTCCCTTGACAGGTTTGTTTGCAGCCTTCTGGCAAAGGGAACCACGTTATAAAAACATAAAATTAGAGAATTCCTTGTTTCGCGATTGTTCTGGAAGTCGGCTGTTTCCCCTTCATTGCGGGCTCCGTCAGGCTACCCCAAACAGCACAAAGACGTTTGTTGAAACTATCACAAACGAAACAAGCACATCCATTACATTGATGTTGACTTTGTTTACTGTAAAAGTTTGCGCAGTTGCATCATTGTGTCGATGAGTGGGATAGAGCGTTGGAAGTTTGGAGCATCCAAGTTGGCCCAGGAATGTGGACTTGGATGGACATTTACGGTTTTGAGGAATAGGTTTGCCGCAGGTACCCTCTCCTTGCTGCGTTCATGTGCTGCAACTTTGTGCATAACTTCGTATATGTGTCCGCCGGACGTTCTAGCCTGCCAGTATGTGACCCAAGTCTTTTTTAAGGAGAGCCGTGGGGTAATCATGCTTGAAAGAGATGCTGTTCTTGCACAAGACCCATTTTTCCAACATGTTAAGTGATTGAGAGAAGCAAATATTTGTGGGTGAAACCCAAATGAACAGAACTCTGAGTACTTCCGGGCGGTTCGATGCAATTCGGGTGGAGGTGTAGTTATTCAGACCATACACTTGCGTATACATACTCTACATTACATATGCAATCATATATATATATACAGTTATGTGTATATATATAAGATGAGGCTCCTCCAAAAGATTGCCAGGAAAAGCCTCCATGTTTGACCGTGGTGGGAAGCGGAATAGTTCATGAAAAGGAAACCCTTTCAGGTTTAATAATGAGGAAGAATATAAATCATACAGTTCATGACACAGTTAACAAGAATGATAGGAAGCAATCCAGGCATGGCAACATAAATACGTGCATCAGAGGCAATCGTGAAGAATTCGAATACCTCCCCGTTTGACGGTTGGGACTGTACAGCCCCCCCTTGCTCTCCACATTGACCTGTCTGGCGTGCCGCATCCAGTGTGCGGGTGTGGCAGCTCTGAAACGGTCGAATGTTGATCAGTCTTTGGCGGAACAGCTCCATGACCCAAGCTATGCCAAGTTTGCTGTAACGGGCTTCTTGCTGGAAGGCACAAGTTCATTGGATTTAGGGCCCTGGAATGGTGGGTTGGGCTTGTTCAGTTTTGGGCGGCTGTAAGATGTATGTTATTGGAGGTCTTGTGGATATTATGAAATAAGACAATGAATGCCAAGCTTCAACACATCCGAGATCATCCAAGGGAGTTCTCCAGCACTATATACTACTGATATTGCAAATCGTTATACTTACATGTTGTGGTGGACGCTGAGAAGGGGAAGCATGTGGTTGAATTTCTCCCTGAAGCTTGGAGCTGCTTTTGCTGCGGTTCCAGACTGAGATGATCGACAATTAAAAGAGGCATATATCTCTTTCTAGCCAAATCAAGCAAATCCAAGATTCTCCGATTAAAATAATGATGTATATATATATATAATATATTGAGATATTACGAAAGCCAGCCGATAGGCTAGGCTTGAGCTTTTAGAGCGAACGAAGTGAGTTAAGGGGTGTGGGCGGAGGAGGCTGCTAAATTTGAGAGGGTGAACCCGGAGCTTGGTGGGGGAGAGAGCTCCAAAGCGAAGGTCAGAAAAGCAGTGAAAATGGGGTCTGGTGATGCGAGTGATGCAATGGACGCCGAGTAGTGCATCATTAGCATCATGAAGGGCTGTGGAGGCTATTTGGACAATGGGCATTGAGCACTGGAGTGGAGACAGGGACCCATGTACAGAGCAGACCGCAGCCGCGCGTAGGATACAAGTTCCCAGGACAACCCGTAACTCGCGAAATCCATAGAGAACCGAAAGTGTCATGAGTTCAAGTCCATGAATTTGGATTGAGTTTCGGCGGGGGCTACATATCCGCATAGGGTTCCTGTCCCCTAGCAAAAACTATATTTGCAGCATGTCCTCGGTCGAGTGGATGCTTCTCGCGGCGTCCACACGCACCGAATGTTTTTCCGGCTTGCCGGTGCAGATAAATAGAAAGATAGATAGATGGATAGATACATATATACATACATAGATAGGTAGAGATAGAGAGATAGATAATAGATAAATTCTATATATTATTGATTTATGACGTCGCCTTTTTGCTGGCAGCCCTGGCCGAATCTAGTTAGCTTGGGTCCACGGTCTAAAGATCTACCCACGTAGATGCTAAAGTCAAGGCCTCTGAGTGAGAAAGACGTAGAATTGATAAGTCTAAGAAAGAGAAGAATAAAAAAGGTATTTGGATAATTGAAATTTTTTTTAAAAGCACAAAATGGGCATCGATAGGCGTATAAATCCTCACTCCTTTGCTAGTCCAAGCTACTCCTGCTGGACCTTTATTTTTGCGATCTTCTCCGCCGCGCCGCGGGATTAAATATCCGTGTCTCGGCTAAGATGTGCCCGTTTACTCTTCCAAATCAATGAAGGTCGCTTCTTGACGTGCCGCAATATGTATAGCAAATTTCAAACACTCCAAATGTAACAAACAATTATTTCTTTTCAAACGCATGCTATACTCGCCCGCGCGCGAAGCGACGCTTCCTATGGAGAAGGTCTTCCTACGCGCGCGCGCGGCGAGCGCGCACGTGGTATCCCAGCACTCGAATTTAGACGGTATTCTCCCTTCGCTAATGCTGATGTCGCCTTCCAACTTCCATAAAACGCATGCCTTTTTGCGTGTAATAAACACATGCTATTGCCTATTATGAATGATGATGATCTACACCAAGATGTATCGCATTTCTTTTTTATTATTTCCAAAGCCGCCCGACTTATTTTTTTTGCTCCCTCAATCACCATTACATATGCCTTCCGTATCCGCGGCGCCGCTGCTTCGCAAGCTGCCGACCATGTGTTTTGTGCCGCGACGCCCGCCAGAAAAAGATACATTCGTTTGGTGGCTGTTGGCTTTCGCCCCCCTCTTTTCAGATATATTTAATATATAAATTCGAATTGAATTATTTAAATTTTTAATTAAAAACAAATTATTAATAATATATTTTTTATTGAAAAATATTACATAAGATAATATAATATTTAAAATAGAATCTATATATAATGAAATAAAATATATTTTAAAAATTATTTGATAGTTTTAATTTTATATATAATTTATAATCGATAATATTTAATTTATTATATATTAATAAATTGAAAAATATGGGAAAATTTTTAGAATAGTTTAAATATAATGAATTTATATATATATATTTAATTTCATGAATTATATATTAATTATATTTTAAATATAGATTAAAAAATATAGATTAAATATATTATATTAGGGTCGGCCCGTCGTTTTTAATAGTGAAAAAATACGATTTTTAAGATTTAAAATCGATAGATAAAAAATGAATAAAATGAGAAATTGAAAACCA